TACCGATATGCTTAGTAACTCGCAGATGGATCTTTTGATATAACTACTCCTTGATATTACAGAAAATAATTGCATATTGTTGAATTTTTAATAAATTAGTTTTTGTAAACACCAAGTTTTTAATCATTCGATTCTGTAACATATAGCAGTCGGCAATGGTGTTTATTTTGTAAATACGATTCAAAAAGTTGCAAAAGTGATTCGGACACACCAAACCATCTAGTTTGTACAGCAAGAGGTCGTGGTCGAGTCTGTCAAAAGCTTTAGTGAAGTCGGTATAGATAACATCGACTTGTTTCATCTTGCCAAGTTTCTCGCTAATAATCTGAGTTTTTTGGACAAGGTTAGTAACGGTGGATCTGCCCTTAATGAAACCGTGTTACTCCCATGACAACAGCCCAGACAAGGATCTGTATAAAAAACCATTTAATAGAATCTCAAATATTTTGGAGAAATTGCAAATAATAGAAATTGGCCAGTAATTAACCAATTCATTTTTAGTGCCCTTCTTGTGCACTGGACACACTCTAAATAGTTTCCAACATTCAAGAAACAAGAAGTTTTTATTAAAAAGTTAAAGATAATTGTTAATGGGGCAGCAAACGCGGAGTCACAGTAAAGGTTTTAATCTTTGTCTTCTTCTTTTTATACATTTTATTAATGGCATTGTAGACAATTTGAGATATATTGTCTACTTCATGCTAATTACATGAAGTACATTTATTTTATTCCCTCGAAATTAGATTAAAGTTACAAGATATAATACAAATTTCAACTTGTCCTCAGATTTAAGATTCAATTATCACTTAATAATAATAATAAATAATAGATAATTGAATAAAAACTGCATACAAAAATTTAGGTTTTATTATAAAAGAATCTCATGGATTCCACTGATAATAAATTGTTGACATTATTTTTTAATGCCTTGGTCAGATTTAAATTCGAATATACTTCTTTAATTTGGAGCCACAGTTATATGGCTGATACTCTGAAAAACGAGACAATTCAAAGGAGTTCCCTTAAAAAAGGTTTATATATCCACTTATATTTCAAAAATTAATGCTAGACAAGTTCGCAATATCAAGTAGAACTACGCAATCTATAATATCATCATACAAATTGATACACAATAAAATAGATGATCTTTAAGCATATTAGACAGCTGTTATTTTATGTGTCTAGAATAATTATTGATAATCGCAATGGTGCAAGTTTTAGTTTAATTTCGCTTTTCAAGATTTGAAAAAAAATGTATATAAAGCATTTTCCATATTTCTTTGTTTTTTAGATCTTTTCCTTTAATATCTAAATTTCTTTCTTTTTATCTATTTTTTTTTATTTGAATTTTATATTTTCCCTTTCAGTCATTGATCTCTGATTGTTGGATGGTGTACGCTAAATAAATAGAGAAATAAAAATTGTCATCGGTGTGATTTTACCAAATTTTGACTAGTAAATATCAGTTTTGCTTGGCATCTTGCTGATAAAAGTTTTGATGAGGACCCATTTTGTATAATTCTTAATATTCTCAAATAAACCATTTAATTACTTCTTTTACATTCCGAAAAAAATAGAATTATTTTTATTTTCATTTACCATAAGTCAAATGTAAACCTGACAGACATGAGCAGCTCGTAACTGAAAATGTATTGATGTAAACATTTAATACTGTAGATATATTAAACAACGACGATAAAATAAGCTTGCAAATCAGCCTGATAATTTTCAGATTAAAAACACATTTACATATTATTTAATGTAAAGAATAACGTAAACACTAAATTTGCCAATGTTACAATAAATCCGTCAATAAACAAACATGATATGTATCTCGTAATCAACACAGAAGCGGAAATTTAACTGTATCAGTCGACGGTGTCATTTTTTTTATAAATTGGACCACCTACCGCGTTATCTTTACATTGTAAATACCTGCTATAAACATCAGATGCCAATTAATTAAAATGTCCGCAAACGCTTTTTATACAAATTCAAAAATTATCTGATCAAATTGACAGGTGAAATTTGCTATTCACTGCAGATAATAAATTTGTTAAAAAATGTTCATCTTACTCTTCGAAAAAACTAGTTCAGTTATTTCAAATGATTAATTTGTTAACCCATTTTATAAACAATATAAAAATGTTATAGTTGAACGACCATTTGAAGTTATTATAATGGGTTAGTGGATTATAGATTTTTTCACTAATAATCTCTTAACATTCTACCTAATTATTTTTTTATTGATTTTTATTATTTGTCTATTTAGTTATTCCCAATCGTCAAAAAAAAAACAGTAAACATGATTTAATATACCTAACACTTGCTAAAGAAAAGTTGTTACAGCTCAGTTTTTTTGGATTTTTATTAAAACTATGTGATTCAGAACTTATCTAAAAAAATATTTGGATGTACAGGGGACTCTTACACATACAATTTTATAAAGAAAAAATAAAAAAGGGCAATTCGAAAATGATTAAAAAATACATTTCTGCACGGCCCCGGAAACTGGTCCACTGTAAAACCTGACCTTGAACAATGCGACCGGCATGGCGACAAAGTGTGATAAAAACAGACAAAAACCTCTTTGCATTTTTGGAGGATTAGGCACCAAATGTATCAATGGTGCCCTCTTTCGAGTAAGACCAATAACAAATGAAGTGATTAGATAACTAAGGTTCGAATGCAGATACAATGGCCATAGAGATGTCAGGATCTAAACCCTGTACATTTTATTTATAGAATTATCTGAAGCAACTTGTATACAAAATTAAGTTAAATTAATAAAGATAATCCAAGATGGCACAACAGATTTCGTCATTGCGAATTAATTCTCCGTGCTGGAGAATCACCTTTTGTGCATTTATTGTAATTTTTCAGTTTATATTTTGTAAGTGGTAATTAAATTACTGTGGTAATTATAATTATTTCAGTACCCAAAAATGTGGGCAACAAGATACTTGACTTACAAAAATATTTGTCATACTCAATACGAATAGAAACGTTATATTACAGTTTTATGATGTATGTAAGTATCTTTTTTCTAAAAGGAAATGAAATACCGAAGGTTGAGCTAAACAGAAAATAGCAGTTTATTTTACATACTGTGCTCCCTTAATTGGGGTTCAGTAGAAACAGCAAAGTTATTTAAAGGAAAAGTTCTTGTTTGATTTAACATAGCAATAACATAGATTTCAAGACATATGCACAAATGTGCATAAAATGCACATATAGTAAAAAGCGGTCGTTAGACACTTCTTATTCCAGATTACTTATTTCACAAGAAAGTCAAGTATTTCCTTTTTTGGACATAAGGAAATTTCAGAGCCTAGTAATGGAAAATCATCTCCAAAGATTTGACGAATCCAATGCAGGGTATGTACAACGTACAAAAATCACTTCGATTTACCGTAGTTGTACATCTACAAATATGTAAAAAAAATCGTTCGTTTTAAGTTCAATTGGATTGTTGGATAGGTATCTGCTTACAATCTCACAAAATCTAACACGAGTACAATATTTTCTATTCCCACATTCTTTTTTGCTGTTATACCTATAGAAAAATTATATGAGCCAAAGTTGCAGGAAATTTTCTTGTGGGTTCAAAACTATACTTAGAAAAACAATTGGATGTTATATTTAGAAGATATAAAACAAAATATTATATTCTTTGATACATTACCGTTTATATTTTGAAGTATTTTATCAGGATTACAATTATATATGTTTTGATGGATATATTGATTTAGACAAATAAATATATAAGATGTGGTTAAAAGAGTATGATGACAATAAACTATTTCGGCCATATTTCTCTTAACATTAAGGATAGATTTAATTAAACCTTATACTAGTATTACTGTAATGTCAAGGGAGTTTTCTATCCAAATATGTATATAACCAAAAATATATGATGGTCTGTAAAAAAATAGGTTTAAATTGTATCTTCTGGGTACAGTTTTGAAATCTAAGATCTTACAACTTTGACTCATACTATTTTTTTCTAAAAGCGAAAATAAAAAAATTATAGGGAATAGAATGTTATGCAGAACTATCAGACTATTTACTAATTTTTACAGCTATCTGGAGCAGGTTGTAAATTTTAATTTATAATAAAGAAACATGACCCTTAGTTATTCTTAATACATAAAAGAACTTATAAATAGGTACATAAAGTTGCTTCATTACACAAATAAAACAAATCAACCATATTTACATATTCTAAAAATTATATATATTCTAAAAATTATATCTACTTTGTATTGCCAAAATTTGAAATAAGACTAGATATTCTAAGTGTTAAAATTAATTTGTAGTTATTTTTTCAAATAAAATAATAAAGTAATATTAAAAAAGTATGTTAAAATAAATAAGTACTCGTATTATCATGACAATGATGATGAAATTTAATACGAATCATCTTGATTTTGTTAAAAATTACTGAATAGTGTCAGTTTCACATTTTCTAAGGTAGTGACAATAAAGTGCCATACGGCAGCTGTCAGTACTGTTAACCTGACAAATTAAAATATAAATAATTTATTGTTCGCAGGGTGCAAAGTATTGAGATAATATACGTACTAGTACGAAAAAGTTGCTTTATGCACTGTGGGTAAATTTAGCATTTTATTAATGATAGTAAAAAAAAATGTTTTTTTTTTCCATTTCATAAAAACATATAGACTCATATATCATCCACATTACAGCATTCAGAATGTAGTCCGAGCAGCAGAAGTCTGCACTCATTAACGGCAAGTTTATCGACCTTACTAATTTTTGGTAGCCTTCACCGTACCGGATCGCGAGAACACCAACTGTGGCTTTATTAATTTTAATTAACGAACGTTCTAATATGTTACGTTTTTTAATCACACCACCGGAGAATACACATTTTTGTTAAGTGTGGAGTATATTAGAGAAAACCTTTCACTGGATGAGCCCCACCTAGATGTTACTATAAAAGTCGAATGCTCCGAGAGTTTCATTATCAGTTTCATCCACACTTTCCTCGTGATCGTCTCCTGTTTTTACGTATCGCAACATGAGGTTCATTGTAAGTAGTTAATTTAACATCGCAATAGTGCAAAAAACCGTGGTGAAATCCTCGAAGAAAGTTTTCGGGTCGTAATTGGTCATTAGTGTCGTGGGCACTTTTTAAACAATAGATCAACTTGATGTCATATTTGCCACGCAAAGTTCAGATCTAACTAGATCGCGTTCGGATTCTTTGTTTACACGTTTTACTCAGCAAGCGATTAGACATTTTTTTTAACTGGCTACAAAAATATCCGCATGATATTAGTATTTAAAAAAAACTCGTTATTTATGTTTTCAGCCATAATCGGGATTGCATAATACTACTACTTGTTTTTAATAATAGGCACTAAAACTTGTATAATCACAACAAATTATTTGTATTGATTTATATTCTTCACAAAATTACATGTGCTAGTAGATATAGTTGACTTATAATTACTTTTTAATTTAATTTAATTAATTTAGACTTTTAATAATAATATATGTTCGGAATAAATTGAATCAGTGATATAATAGAAGCTCAACGAATTTTGTTGATATTAGATAGAAATTGTGCGCTCCACAGTGAATTGACAAATTTACAATAAATCGATAGCCTTTCCATATGGGTAATTTAGAACGCGCAGTTTTAATGGTTTTCTAAAGACGTACTAATCCTCAAATTTACAAGAGTAATCGGAAATTCGTTCTTGTTTGATATATATCTATATATATATAGTATATGTTTTGGACCATAGACTTCGAATGCTCAAGGTCTTGTCGATGTATGTTGAATATGGCATATTTATAAGCAATAATATTTCTACTTTTTGCTTCAAATTTACCATATATACACAAAAATATCTGTAGATTTCGTTTAATATTGAAAATAAATTACTTTTAAATGTACTTACTGTACAATTAAGGCTAGATTTTTTTAAACAGGAAAATAGTATTATGATTAAGGCTAGTTAGATTTAGTTATTCTTTTTCTTAATATTTTGCCATATCAAACTTTTCTCCGGTCAAGTTTATTTTTTCAAATTTGGCCCAATTATCTTAGTAACAAACTGCATCTATGAAAAAAGTCATGAGAGCTTTTTAACTGCATTTTTCAGGAAATTAAACAGCTCAACATGTAAAATCATTAAAAGAAGATCTTTAATTACATTCATTTATATAAATTGTGAAATTTAAAAATAATGGAATAAATTATACGGATTTGAACGAAAAACACTAATTCCATTTTTTGTCACAAACGGTAACATTGTAAGATTCTCTTAATATGAAAATTAGGTACTATACAATTTTTGAAACACCACGGCTTCAAAGTTTTCAAGATTTTTTCTGGTATGTGCAATTTATTACCAACAACAAATCTATCAATTTATAAAAAACTGTGTACTGAAAAAAGTTGTACAAATTATTAATTAAAGATATTATTCTGAATTTAAGTTCTTACATTAATATTTACTTCTGGAAAGAGTGGTATATAAAGTTGTCCACAATTTCTATGGATAGAATCAATATAATATTTTACTACTCACAATTTTCAGATATACTGTTTATGTTTTTTATATTATTTGAGCATCTGCAGCAATTTTTTTTACAAATTGTTCAGTTTTCAAAAAATCAGATTACGCCATATGCCGACGATATATACATGTAGGTACTTAATTTTCAATTAAATTCTACCCGATGAGACTTAAATTTGTAAGTACATATTAGTTCACTTGACAGTCTATATTTTAAGTTTTTGAACGTCTCGAAATTTTTTAATTAACACTACATTTCGTAATGTCTACACGTTTATATTTTTTCTTATACTTACGTAATATTTTGCCGAATGAGCTGCTAATTTTCACTATTTTTGTTTTTCCAGGGCGCTAGTATCCTCTTAGTCCTAGCTCTAGGCTCCGCGCATGCTGGATTTCTAGAAGGTGGCCATGGTTATGGCGGCGGCGGTGACCTTGGTGGCCACGACATCGGGGGCGGCGACATCGGTAGTGGCCATGACCTTGGCGGCGGCGGTTTTGGTGGCGGCGGCGGTTTTGGTGGCGGCGATGGTGGATATGGAGGCGATGGCGGCGGTTTCCAGGCCAGCGTCGAGACTCAACATCACCACATCCCTACGAAGACCATCGAACACACCCAGCCCGTGCACATCCCAGTGGTTAAGAAAGTCGGAGTCCCAGTACCTCACCCTGTGGGAGTCCCAGTTCCACAGGTTGTAAAAGTTCCCGTTCCTCAACCCTACCCCGTACACGTGAACGTACCACATCCCATCCCTGTACCAATCTACAAATTGGTCCCCCAGGAAATCGAAAAGAAGGTACCCATTTCCGTGGAAAAGTTGGTACCCGTGTACATAGAGAAACCTTACAAGATCGAAATTGAGAAGCATCACCCTGTATACGTGAACAAACCATACCCAGTGCACGTGCCGGTGTACAAACATGTCTACCATCACGTACCCAAGCACGGAGGTGGCGGCGGCGGCGACGGAGGTCATGGAGGATGGCATTAAGCGTCTTTAGTCTTAGTCTTTCATCTCATCAAATTTAATCATCGCGTTTCATCTCCCCATCATCCTCATCATTGTTATTAATTTTTGTACTGTTGTTATTTCTTTGTTAATAAATTTTTCTATAAAATATTAATTAAACGTCTTTATGTTTAACCACCTTCTCATTGTGTTCTTCGCCTATGTTCTCTATACACATACCATCAACAAGTCAATTTAAAAAAATGTCTACGTTTAAATAAAAAATCCCAAATTTCTCAAAGTTCTTCTAAATACGAAATATTTCCTAATCAAAGAATTAGAAAATATACATAACTTCAAAAAGTTTCAACATAGGAAAACATTATCTCGTTTCTGTATAAAACTACCAAGCTGATTTTCAATTTTTTATTTTAACACCCAGAGGATTTATTTAAGAAGAAATATTAAAAAAATGTTTTTATAAAACTAAATAAAAAAATTAATGTCAAAACGTATAGAAACAAAGTTGAGTTTAACTTTTTCCAACAGCGCACCTTGTACATTTGTATATTTTTATATATTTGAATTCGCTATCACGGCGATATCAGGTTTGATATGTTTTTAATACACAGGGTGGTTCTGAGGAGCCTTCTATATAAACTTATTTCTAAAAACGCTACATCTCTTTAGGTTAAAATTATTACTTTATATTATATCAAAGTATCTTGTATCTTTTCAAAAAGTTCAAAAAATGTCACATGGCTTATTTAGAAACTTTTCTATCTCTCAGATTTTTTTATCAAAATATTTCGTTCTTCAGAAAAAATAAAATACATGTAACAAAAAAAATAAGAAAAAAAAAAAAGACACAGTTTATTTTAAACTGATAAGAACTACAAACTTCACTATCATTTTTTACCATATTCTTTTCTTTTTCTAAATAATTCTAACTTCTTGAGAAAATATAGTAGTTTGAAAATGGCCTGCTAGCAGTAGCTTTTTTAGTATCTTCTAAATCAGTCTTCTAGTATCAGTCAATTTGATACGTGATTTTCGTGCACAAAAAATTTGTCGATTTTTTTTGTCATATGAAAAATGTAATAGATCTTATACAGGGTTATCCAAAAGTCCTAGTACGGCAGAAAAACTTTCGAAGAAAGCATTTTGGGAAAAAATGTTTCAAACAAAAGTGTAAGGATTTTTCCCTGGCTATCTGATTTGACCTTGACTTTGACCTTCAATGCATTTGAAGGTCAAGTTAAGTTTTTTAAATGGAAACCCCTATTTTTTAATGCAGATTTGGAAAGAGCAGGAAATTTTCTTCCAAAAATCCCGGTACAGCAGAACTTTCGAAAAATGCATTTTGGGAAAAAATGTTCCAGACAAAAGTGTAAGGATTTTTCCGTGGCTATCTGATGGTGACCTTGGATTTGAACTTGACTTTGACCTTCAAGGTCATTTGAAGGTCAAGTTAAGTTTTTTAAATAGGAACCACTATTTTTTATTGCGGATTTGGAAGGAGCAGGAAATTTTACATCCAACAATGGTCTTGACCATGACTTCGACAATGACCTTCAAGGTTAAATGTGGGACAATGACTGAATAGTCATTCCAACTGAAAAAATGTCTGTTGAAAAATGTTAAAGAAGGTCACGGTTTTCAGAGAAAACTGAAAAACGTGTACCATGAGACAATTATAAAGAGCACATCAAAGAAACATATTTTTAGATGTTAATAACTGATTCTAAAATATTAGAAATTACTATTAACTCTGGTGTTTTATGGAGAAGAAATCGCCCTTCTAGTAAGACAATGATAGAATAAGTAGATCCATTTTGCAAATGATGAAGCGTAACACTAAACTAAAGCAACGTTTTTAATTTTTCGCATTGAAAGATCACAGAGAACCTGTAAACATCAGAAATAATACCTTTCTTGTTTTGTCCAGCAAATTTGAAAGGATAATCAATAATTATTATTAATGCATGTGTTAATAGTTTCCTAAAAACATTCTGCGGGGTGTGATTATGTGTACAGTACCGTATGCGATATTATTTGTGTTCAACAGGTGTGCAAAATTTAGCAAACGTAAGATAAACATACGAGGTAAAGACATATCTTTTTCCTTATTTTGAATGTATTGTCAGTTGTCTTATATCCTGAAGAAAACATATAACTCGTCCAGTGAAGAGATGTTGTTGGTAAATTGCTTAAATTTTCTAAAATGCTGGACAAACAATTGCGCCCCCTTTGGACCTTAAACTAAGACTTATAATGAAAAGAAATAAGTAACCATGATTAAATATTTTTACGATATGGGTATATTTAACAAGTAATACATACTAACAAATATAAACTTATTTTATTAATTAAATCACATCTAAAACAGTCATCTTTAATATTTAAAGAGTTTCACGTGCTTTGACACGTTATCTTTAGCAATGATTGTTGCATGATGGCTTTTTAATTTATATCCTTTAAATTGTGTCATTTTTGGCAAAATTTTAAACCAGTACTAATCATTTTTTCAGTTAGCATCGCTCGTTCAAGATAAGAAACAAAAAAACCTCTAGATTTATTTAATTTAGGTGGCTAAAATCCATTGTCAGTAGGTTATCTTCAAATTGTTATATCTTTTTCTTAATTATGTATTTTTAATATCTTTTTACTGAAGTGGTATTGGACTCATTCATATCAAATCTAAAAGTTTTCCTAAAAATCGCAACTTCAAATACAAGCTGTTAATTAATAACTAATGATATTGTAGGAAATAACTACTCTGCGGACTAAAGCCTCCGCCAGAGTTGAATTACACTTGCAACATGTTTTATCTCTCTATTAACAATTAACAATCTAAAACAATGATCTTATAAATAATCTTAATCAAAAACACATAACTATAGAATGCCAGTTTTCAAAGATACTATCTTTTGTTTCTAACATAACGTCTTTGACAAATATAAACTAGCATAATATTTATACAAAATATGTATATAAAAAAATATACAAGGTGATTCAGTCATAATGTCATTAATTTTAACAGCAGATAGAGAAAAATGAGTATAATACGATGGCGTGATTAAAAAAAATTAAATGCATATTTAAGCTGAAAAAAAAATTTTCAAATCATTATTTAACCCCCTTTTCAGGCTGTTACTAACCGGCTGACGTCATCGGTTATTTAGAATTTGAGCACGGCTACGATATGACGCACTGGTGTTCCAGCTCATTTTNTAAGGATTTTTCCCTGGCTATCTGATTTGACCTTGACTTTGACCTTCAATGCATTTGAAGGTCAAGTTAAGTTTTTTAAATGGAAACCCCTATTTTTTAATGCAGATTTGGAAAGAGCAGGAAATTTTCTTCCAAAAATCCCGGTACAGCAGAACTTTCGAAAAATGCATTTTGGGAAAAAATGTTCCAGACAAAAGTGTAAGGATTTTTCCGTGGCTATCTTATGGTGACCTTGGATTTGAACTTGACTTTGACCTTCAAGGTCATTTGAAGGTCAAGTTAAGTTTTTTAAATAGGAACCACTATTTTTTATTGCGGATTTGGAAGGAGCAGGAAATTTTACATCCAACAATGGTCTTGACCATGACTTCGACAATGACCTTCAAGGTTAAATGTGGGACAATGACTGAATAGTCATTCCAACTGAAAAAATGTCTGTTGAAAAATGTTAAAGAAGGTCACGGTTTTCAGAGAAAACTGAAAAACGTGTACCATGAGACAATTATAAAGAGCACATCAAAGAAACATATTTTTAGATGTTAATAACTGATTCTAAAATATTAGAAATTACTATTAACTCTGGTGTTTTATAGAGAAGAAATCGCCCTTCTAGTAAGACAATGATAGAATAAGTAGATCCATTTTGCAAATGATGAAGCGTAACACTAAACTAAAGCAACGTTTTTAATTTTTCGCATTGAAAGATCACAGAGAACCTGTAAACATCAGAAATAATACCTTTCTTGTTTTGTCCAGCAAATTTGAAAGGATAATCAATAATTATTATTAATGCATGTGTTAATAGTTTCCTAAAAACATTCTGCGGGGTGTGATTATGTGTACAGTACCGTATGCGATATTATTTGTGTTCAACAGGTGTGCAAAATTCAGGAAACGTAAGATAAACATACGAGGTAAAGACATATCTTTTTCCTTATTTTGAATGTATTGTCAGTTGTCTTATACCCTGAAGAAAACATATAACTCGTCCAGTGAAGAGATGTTGTTTGTAACTTGCTTAGATTTTCTAAAATGCTGGACAAAAAATTGCGCCCCCTTTGGACCTTAGACTAAGACTTATAATGAAAAGAAAGAAGTAAAAAGATTAAATATTTTTACGGTATAGGTATATTTAACAAGTAATACATACTAACAAATATAAACTAATTTCTCTCTAAGAGTTTCACGTGCTTTGACAAGTTATCTTTAGCAATATTTCCTTTAAATTGTGTCATTTTTGGCAAAATTTTAAATTAGTAATCATTTTTTTCAGTTAGCATCGCTCGTTCATGATAAGAGACAAAAAACTTCTAGATTGTTTTAATTTAGGTGGCTAAAATCCATTGCCAGTAGGTTATCTTTAAGCTGATATATCTTTTTTTTAATTATATATTTTCAATATTAGCTTTTTTACTTGAAATGATATTGAACTCATTCAAATCAAATCTAAAAGTTTTCCTAAAAATCACAACTTCAAATACAGCTGTTAATTAATAACTAATGATATTGCAGGAAACAAGTACTCTGAGGACTAAAGCCCCCGCCAGAGTTGAATTAACTCTGCAACATGTTTTGTCTCACTATTACTAATTAACAATTATTATCTAAAACAAGGACTTATCAGAATAATTCTAATCAAAAACACATAAGTATGGAATGCCAGTTTTCAAAGATACTATCTCTTGTTTCTAACATCACCTCTTTAACAAAGATAAACTAGCAATCTATATAAAATAGGTATATAAAAAATATATAAAACTGAAATTAATATCTGAATATTTATAAATATTAAATTATATACTAAATAAGACTTTTACAAAAAAGAGAGTGAAATTTTGAAACGACTGTATTGAAAATGCGTCAATTCATAACTAATTAATAGCTTACTTTGAAGTTGCATAGTGGCTTCATTAACTGCGAATTTTAGGAACAGTT